GACTATGGAATGTTTATTTGGCTTTGATGTACAAGACACTCTGAAGTGGGTTCCATCTGAAAGTCTCCTCCAGAACTTCACAGCAGAGGCTAAGAAGGTGTTATTGAGGTTTGTTTGTTTGTTTGTTCATTTTCTTTTGAACACACAAGGCTAGATAGATATCAGAATGTGTAAGGGGTGTCCCTGGCATTTTAACTGGAGATTAAAAATGCCACTTCAAGTTTAGTTTGTCTAGAATAACTAATAACTACTACTTTTGCTCAGTTCTGTATATTCTTTGAAATGTAGCAGTTGTTCCAGTTTCACTGCTGATAAAAGTTCCAGCAATTTTCACCAATTCAGTGTGACAAACTTGCAAGTTCAAGAACAGTGTCTTCTGCCTGAAGCATGTGGGCTTTCAAATAATTATAGCCTCTTCCTACTATGTAAAATACAAAAATTCAGTTAAAGGAATTAAACACAGTATGATGGAATCTTCTCTACAGTGGAACATCTAATTTGTCTTAAGAGCTCACTGAATTTTGTGAATGGGTAATTAAGTGACCAATTACCATTTTAAAATGATAAACAACAAACAAACACAAATAGATCTTGTAGTGGGCTTTTCTTACCCAGTTATTTTGACAATGGTGCCTGTAGTCATAATTGATTTTTGCTGTAGAGCCTGGAGGTGTTAGATAACTTCTTCACCTTCTTCAGGTGACTTGGGAGGGTTTCTAACATTTAGTGCTGTCTCTTTTCAGAATGAGGGCGAAAGAGAAAGCCCAGTAGGCTGCAATCATCTCTTTTGAGGTCATCAACCTTACTATATTTCTTAAGTGTGTATTTAAGGGCAAAATTTCTGAGCCATCTCTACTGTTGGGATAGCATTTATCCACACAGCAATCATACAAGGATGGCCTGAAGTAGTTCAATAGTTCAGAGTTTTCTATCAGGAAGACTTGGAACGTTTGGCCCTTGAAGATTGCATCCTACTTTTTGTATGTGCAGGGTGTTGCCAGGTGCATGCCTGCAGAGGCTTTGCAAATCAAAGTGTCAAAATCTGTCTTAAATTAGTGGAACTCGGTATGGTCATCTGATGGTCCTCACAAGGTTTTGCTTTGTGTCACAACTTGATAACACCAGAGTTCAGTTTTGTGGGCAGAAGAAACTAAAGCTGTACATTTGAACCACTTAGGTCTTTTTTTGAGTCTTATGTAAAAGTTCTCACTACACTGCCAGTATTGCTTTTAAAGTCTTCTTACCTGACAACAGCCTTTTTTTTTGTTCTGCTTACTACAAGGAGCAATATAAAAAACATTTGTTTTACAAAATTGATTTATTGATTTTTATCATCCTCCATGTCTGGCTGAGGTATTTCATTTGTTAATGGTGTAGCCTCTTGTTACCTTCAAAGTATGTAAGCATAGCAGTACTGCTTGAATATCAAACCTAGCTAGGAAGGAGTTGAGTGGTGACCAGAAAAAAACCCAGGTCAAGCACAAAGGAGCTAAAGGGATTTTGGAATACCTCTGTTCCGTGTTACTTTAAGAATGTAGATGTAAGCCTAGAGCAGGCTTCTGAATGCCACCTACTCTTGGTGAAGAAATCATACCATCCAGTCCCTTGGTAATATAGAATTGATTGCCCTTTTAGATTTGTAACCAGTTATTTCAGGTTTCATTAGTATGAATGGGAATTGTTTTGGAGCATATTATTCATACTTTCTTAAGGCTCTTTTTACTGACAATGTTTGACCTTCTGGTGTCTGTGTCACAGTTTAGCCCCAACCAGCAGCCAAGTTCCACGAGCTGCTTGCTCACTCCTCCACCAGTGGGATAGGGCAGAGAATCAGAAGGGTAAAAGCTAGAAATCTCATGAGTGGAGATAAAGGCAGTTTAATAGGGAAACCAAAAGCCACATGCAAAAGCAAAGCAAAACAAGAAATTAATTCACTGCTTCCCATGGGCAGGAGGTGTTCAGCCATCTCCAGGAGAGCAGGGCCCATCACGTGTAATGGTTCCTTGGGAAGGCAAATGCCATCACTCCAGATGTCCCCCACTTCTTTCTTTTTCCCCCCACTTTCTACATACTGAGCATGATGTCATATGGTACGGAATATCCCTTTGGTCAGTTTAGGTCACCTGTCCCAGCTGTATCTTTTCTCATCCTCCCATGCATCCCCAACTTCCTTGCCAGTGTGGCAGTACAAGAAGCTGAAAAGGCCTTGGCTCTGTGCGAGCTCTGCTCAACAATACCAAACACATCTCCATATTATCAACACTGTGTCCTGCACAAATCCTAAACATAGCCCCATACTACCCACTGTGAAGAAAATTAGCTCTGCTCCAGCACAGTCTGCTGATAGGGTACAGACTATTGATTGGAGTACATGTAATGTACTCTTCCTTAAAATTACTGCTCAACACCTATTACATTGATGGATATCTAGAAAAGATAAACAGCAAAACCCATGAGTATTAAGAAAAGCAATTTGATAATGATTTCTGGAAGTTTTAAAAATATTAGCTTGGTCTTGGGCAGTTGTTTGGGATTTTTTTAGAGAATCCTGTGTAATGTGTAAAAGTACACTTAGCTTTGATGCTATTGTCCCAGCCTTAGAATTACTTGTATACATTTTCACTGCTCCTTAGTTTGGTATATATTTGCCTTAGTCTGTGGTGGGGGATTAGTTTTTCCCTGCAGTTAGAAAAGTACAGACAAAAGTAAGAAGTCAAATGCCTATACTCTGGGGTAAAATTTATAGTTCTTCAATTTATAGAATTAAGCACAGTTTGTGAAACTTTAGCTAAAATGTTGAACAATATGGAGTAAAGAAGTTGTGTGATACCTACTTATGTCAAAAACTTTAGCTGCTCTACAGTTTTAAGATTGCATATTGTAGCTCAAAGGATTTTAAAGCACATTGCAAATACAAAGGAATATAAGCTACAACACATACCCTTGTTGATGGAAGCTGAACCTGCCAATGTTTCTAAAACAAGTGACTTGATTTACATGAGTGCTCTGTATTTGCAATTTCTTGGTTAGATTTTTTTCTTTGCCTAATGGAATAAGTCAGGCAACACTCAAGTTTTTAAAAGTCAGTTTAGGCTTGTTAATGGCACTTTTGACTAAAATGTACCCCACTCAAATACCTTGTGTCGAAATAATATTGGAGTGCAATATTGGTGAAATATACTTTGCCAGTACTTAGCTATGCCTGTTCCAAGAACTGCTCTTGTTCCTTGAATCCTTATATCTAATATCATATCTAATATCTAATAATGGGATGAGGTTTTACCCTCTCTCATATTACCACTTTGCAGGAGCAAAAAGGGGTAAGCGGGGGAGGGACACAATTTCACCACTGCTGAGACAAATTTTAATACGTAGAAGAATTTAAAAAAGAGAAAGTTTGTTAAAGACTGGCAGCTAAGAGATTTCCAAAAGGAGCCATAACTACTATGACTTTCTTTCAACACACTATGGGCTGAAAGTATGCTGGCTAGCCTGTAGCACACTTGATGGCTGGGATATAAAAGAAAACTCAAGAAAGCTGGAAGAAACTGTGTAGGTTCCTAAACTATAGTCCTAGTTTGGAGATACATGAAAAGAGACAGTCTGGAGTTGAAGGATTCATGAAGTTATAGCAAAAATGGGTAGATTGAACACAAAGAAATTACCAGGACTAACTGGCATTCAGTAAGTGCTCTGAGGAAATTTTAAAGTAAAATAGCTGGATTTTTAACGGTCCAATTTTTCAGTTTTGTAGTAATAGAAGGTGTGACTATGATGGCAAAACCCAGTTTCTCTGGGGACATTAAGAACTAGAAGCAGGTTAATGTGTTATCTCTACCAAGCAAATTAATAGAAATTTTAATAAATTAAATTTTCTGTAATGTGAAGTCTGGCTTTATAGATTTCTTGCAGTTTTTTCTAAGAGTCAGCAAACCTGATTAAGTCAGTAATTGATTGGGCATGGATGAATAACTGGCCAAAACCAGGAGGCAGACAACTGTGAAAAAGCCTTTTTTTGCTGCTGGTACAAAGTATTCAGTGCAGTAAGTAGGAAGGCCAATGTGGGGAGGAAAATTGAGAGATTTGGTAATTAGGCAGTAAAATGTCAGATTATATTCACTGTAGGTAAAAACAAAGTGATGCAAGTGGAAAAAACAGTCCTATGTTGTCATACAAAACGAGAGGGTTTGAGCAGGCTATTAGCACTGAGGAATAAGACCACGAAGTTCCATGATAACATCAACTTGTTGCTAGGCAGCAGATCAAAAAGCTAATGAAATACTAGGAATTATTAGAAAAGGAATAGAGAACAAAACAGGACATAATTATGGCAATGGATAAATTACATAGCTCAACCACGAGTCGAGTATCATGTGCAACTCTTCTCCTGTCATCTCAAAATAGTTACATTAAAGCTGGAAAAAGTTCAAGAGAGCAGTGGGGGTGATGGAGTTAGTTCTCTGTAAGCCCCAGTTAACTAGACTGGAGCTCCTCAAGAAAGAAATTCTGGGAATGTGTAAATCACTAGAAGTTCAGAGAGGGCAGACAGAGATGGGGAATAAGATGAATTAGGGACTATCAATTGAACCTGGTAGGAGCCAGGTTCAAGACAAGCTAGAGGGAGCTCCCTTCACACAATGGGGAGTAAAGACACTCAGGGTGCACCAAGTTGATGGTACCTGGGGCAGGCTGGATGCACTGCATGCTGATATATAGACACATTGGTACAGAACAAAATGCAAGTGTTTAGAAAGCAGAGAATGAAGGCAGAGGGAAGTATTGTTTATGCTTGAACTCTTTGTTGGTTGTTGTAAGTAACTTGTGGCCACTCATATAGTTCAAATACCAGGACTATGCTGAAATGATAAACTGACTGTCCAAGTCCTCCAATGTAAAAAATAGACAGTGATAGAAATTATTCTCATGTTATTTCACCTAAATCCTTAAAACTGTTAGCCAATATATTAATCTTTAAATTCTTTGATTTTTTTTCATTTCAGAGGTAAAGAAATTTTTGCAAGTCTCTGGTAGTCATGTGTTTTTTCAGAAATGGTTTTAATATCAAAACATAGCACTGTAAACCTGTAAAAATGTCCCATTGAAATATCTCAAATCAAAAATATCCCACCTAAGCAAATGCATGTCTTGGCTGTAGAATTATTTTTCCTTTGCAAAAAAGCTCATTTCTCAATAGGACTGAAGTGCTTTAAAATTTCTCTGTCAGGGAAAAAAGATTCCTCAGTTACACTAAAGGTGCCTTTATTGACATATGCGTATGAATTGTAAAAGTGTTAATTGGAAATATTGTTCTTTGGATGCCAGTTCTGTATTGACAGTTTGATGTCTGTGATTCCATAGCACAGATATTCAAAGGACTTTTTTAAATGAAGATGTTCTATGAAAGCAAAGCTGTTCTTTATGAAAACTTTGTGCAGATAGTTATTTGGAAGAATTTCCTACCCTCCTTCACTGTGCAGCCATATTTGGATTAAAGAACCTTGCAACGTTTCTACTCTATTGTCCTGAGGCCACACAGGCTTGCAAAATAACCAGTAAATATGGAGATGATCCAGAAAGTATTGTGGAGAAGCATGGGCACGAGGAACTAAGAAAATTAATCAAAGAATTGTCAGTAAGTCCATATGCTTTTTCATATGTCATCTACAATTAGGGGACTATGATATTGTATTACTGAGATCCCATAGTATCACCTCTTGTAAAGACTAGTATGTTCTAGTCCTTCTGTATGAAAATATTACAGAATCACAGAATATTCAGTTGGAAGGGACCCATCAAGATTGAGTCCAGCTCTTGGCCCTGCACAGAACATCCCCAGGAATCACACCATGTGCCTGAGAGCATTGTCCAAGCATTTCTTGAACTCTGTCAGGCTTTGGGCTGTGACCACTTCCCTGGGGAGCTGTTCCAGTGCCCAACCATCCTTTGAGTGAAGAACCTTTTTCTAATATCCAACCTAAACCTACCCTGATACAACTTCAGGCCATTCCCTTGGGTCCTGTCACTGGTTGTCCAAGAGAAGAGAAGAGATCAGTGCCTGCCCCTCCAGTTCTTCTGAAGAAGTTGTATACAGTGATGAGGTGTCTCCTCAGTCTCCTTTTCTCCAGATGGACAGATTGTGTGACCACAGCTGCTCCTCATATGGCTTTCCCTCAAGGCCCTTCACCATCTTTGTTGCCTCCCTTTGGACATTATTATTATACTCCTGTCTCAGTATATGATCACACTTCTGTCTCAGACAGAGGGGACAAAATGGTGTGCAGCCACGTTCTTTGTGCACCAGACACAGAGACCAGAGTTTTTGTGCTGCTTGAATTTTAGGCATGTAATCCAAAGGAGAACAGTGAGTCAGAAGTACTTCATGTGTCCTAGCTAGATTGGTGCTTTCACTGCCCAAACCATTGTTACATTTTAAGTAGTCTAGACCAACTGTCTAGAGTAGGAGATAAAGACTTCTTTGCAAGTTACTTTCAAAGTGTCTATGAACTCTCTTAGCATTGTTGCTCTTCAGCATTCAAAAAAGAGTTGTTGCCCAGCCTTGACTGTCAATGCCACTGTGAAGGAAGGCTACATTTTGTCCTCCTTTGTTAGATGATATAAATCTTTCTTCAGCTGGGTATGCAGGAGGGATGTTGGGCAGCAGGTGCCTTTCCACATGAAAGACGATAATAAAATAAAGGTCTGTCATAGTTCTACACTTCCAATTATTTTCAATAAAACCTAACAATTGCAGTATAAAAAGCAATATACTATACTAACATTTGAGAGCTTTGACCTATTTTACCCCTTTTTGTGCTAATTATAATATGTGCAGATATGGTAATTCTTGCCCCAGAGGTTTTAAAGGCCGGAGAACAGATTAGGTAACTCATATATTGAAAGACAGATAGAATGTGAACGTTGGCATAAATGAGCCTATGTTGTGAAGACCTTGAACAGCTTTGTTCATGGTGTGGTTTTGTGGTTTGTGGGTTCTTTTGGTGTCAGACTCCATGTTCACAGACAAATGGTAAGAACAGATATGTAAGAGGAGAAAACACAAGGAGCGAGAAAGCCAGAAGTTCCACTTTTCTGTTAACCAATCATTTTGATGTGACCATGGATAGGCATAAGACCAAAATGGCATTTGATGAAATATAAAATAATAGCTCTGTAGATTATGCAAGTGAGAATGTTGTGGAGTTGGTTTTTTTCACTAAGGAGGAAAGTACAATAAACCTAAGGATAGTTTATGTAGAAAGTGATATCATAAATAGTGGAAACACTGAATTAGGTTAGTTATTAAAATTCTAGCACAATAACATAGGAATTGGTCGAGTTTTTTCTTTGATACAGTTGGCATCTGCTGTAAAGGTGACGGAGACATGCTGGGAAAACTGAAGTCAAATTTATTGTGGTCAGTGTTGAACAATGAAAATTGTTTTAGCAGTGTTTTAGGGGCAGAATATTTTTATAATGAGTTTATTAAGAAGAAATTTGCAGGACCTAGATTGTGAAATTGTGACAGTGATCAAGATGCTGAATGAAAACATAACTTTTTATTATGGTTGAACAGTGTCATAGTTTAACCCCAGCCAGCCACCAAGCCCCACTCAGCCACTCACTCACTCCCCTACCAGGGGGATCAGAGAAAGAATTGAAAGGTAAAAGCTACAAAACTCATGGGTTGAAATAAGAATTTAATAAGGAAGGCAAAAGCTGCACTCACAAAGCAAAGCAAGGAATTAATTCACTGCTTCCCAGGAACAGGCAGGTGTTCAGCCATCTCCAGGAGAGCAGGGCCCTATCATGCATAACAATTACCTGGGAAGACAAACACCATCACTCCAAATGTCTACCCCTTTCTGCTTCTTCCCCCCACTTTATAGTCTGAGCATGATGTCATATGGTATGGAATATCCCCTTGATCATTTTGAGTCACCTGTCCCAGCTGTGTCTCCTCCCAACCTCCCATACACACCCAACTTCCTTGCCAGTGTGGCAGTATGAAAAGCAGCAAAGGCCTTGGCTTTGTGTAAGGACTTCTCAGCAGTAACAAAAACATCTCTATATTATCACCCCTGTGTTCAGCACAAATCCAAAACACAACCCCACAGTAGCTACTATGAAGAAATTTAACTCTACCCCAACCAAAACCAGCACAAACAGCTATTGTACAGTCTGAAAACACAAAGGGTGGGACAATATCTGCACAACAGGTATTTCTCCTTTTCTAATGCTGTTAGAGATAGCTTGTATCTAATTGAGGATGTGTTCTGGTGTTTATTCTGAAATGACTGAGTATTTCCTTGCATTGACTGGACAATAAGTGTGATCAGACCTCAGAAGCACTGCCACGCTTTTTCTATTGATAGAGTGCAAAGAAGTGTTGTAGTACAGATTTGATGCTTCTACCTCTGTTTTTGATCCTGCAGTTGAGATCAAATTTAACTGAAAAAAATGTGATCCTCTTTACCATCCTGCATAAAGCTGTCCACAAAGCCACACTGTCTTCCTGGATCAACATATTAACAATTTCACATGTAACAATTTCTAACTGCTGTAGTTGTTTCAGTCATTCTTGCACTGGTCAGAAACCTCCTGCCAGTTGCTGTCTGATGTGCTCAGGCCTTTCAGTTTTTGTAGTTTACCAATTCACCTTGAAGAGAATTGGAACTATATACCTATCTGTGTATCTGGCTAGGTGCCATCTTTGTATGGTCAGATAATCCCAGTACACACTGTATGTAAAGGTTTGGTAAGAACAGGCCAAATGGGAATAAGGTAATATCTAACTCTCAGTAAAATATCTTGATTTCTTTTCTAAGATGGTCATATGAGTCAGAGTTGAGCATGGAAACATGGGTTTTGTTGTTAATTTTTTATATTTAATGACAATGGTTAACACCATAGGGCATTTATTTTTTGGCAATAGTGTAGAAACTCACAGCCCTGCACTTCTGATGTGTTGTGCACCCCACATGGAACTGAAGGCTTCAGAAAATGGCTAATTTTGGTTTCATGCTTTTTATCCTAACACACTCATGTTCAACCTCATGCTATAGTTTGGTTCTATAAGAGGAGCCATAAACATGCATGGTGCAGGCAGACTACAGCTGAAACACACAAAAAGAGTACATTGCACTTCTATAGTTCTTTCCCATTTTGATAGATTTTGTCAATGATGGAAGGAAGTGTTCATGAGGGTGATTGTATTTCACTCTGAAAAGTGTGTAAAGTGTGTGCATACCTTTGCTTAGTAAGCTTACTAAGTTTATTAGTAAGAATATTAATTGTCCTAATAATGTTTCAGTACAAATATATCAATCTGAAACATGGATTTATAATGGCAATTAACTTATACAATGTAATTCTATAATTAAAGCTGTTCCTTCATGGTATGGACCTGCTATTGTTTGCATGTAAACAGTTAACAAGTTATTCTCTGCTCATGATGACTCTATGCTCATGATGACTGTTTTCCCAAGCATGAATACTTATACCAGTACTGAGTGAAAGTCTGGTGTAGTTGTACAGCCCATTTTCAGTTGATTCAAATGGTGTGGCTTCCTAATGCAACACAAGTAAAAATGTGAGCATGCTTCAATTCTGCCAAATGTGTAATATGATATTATAGAAATGTTAGCTCCAATTGCTGGAAGAAAAATGGCTTATTTGTGTCCCCTGTAATAGTGCACTTAAGCATAAAAACACTTACTGTACTTCTGTAATTGATGGGAATGTGGAAAATAAATATTTGTATGACTCTGAGCCGAGCAGAATTAAGTTTCACCACGTTTCTGGAGCTGCACATTACAGCTGGAGTATTGAAATTGCTCATTTTTACAATAGAATTACTTTCGTCATTGGCATACCTCTCTCTGTTTTAAAAGTGTCACCTGTGTTTGCCCATTTCTTTAAGGAATATCCCCAAAATATACATGGTAATTCATGCCTTCTGTCTTAAAGAGCAGTAGGGTTTCAGAAAATGAATGCTTTAAAGCATATGCTCACCTTGTCCTAAATCCTGTAAAGTGTCTTTCATTTGAGGGAGAAAGACAAAAAACGTGTCTTGCAGTGCTGGAGATTCCTTAGAGGAGTAAGAATTCCCTGAGGTGGCTAGAGAGAGAGCATCAAAAGATGAAGTGGCAACATCTCAGCTACCATTTCTACCTGCAAGCCCAGGGCTTTGCTGGGCAGCCCTCTTTGGGGCCTGGAGAGCAGATCTGTGCACAGGGCTCGTAAGTGGTGCAGGATCTGCTGCTACAACCCTTCAGTTCACGTGTCCAGAGGCTTAATGGAAAGGTGCTCAGGGCTCTGTTGGCAAAACTGAGCCATGGGAGCTGTCTGACATGCACACTGGTTCATCTGTATGGCACAAGTTCCCTGTCCTTGTTTAAAGGGAAAGCCTCTTTTCTGAAACTGCACACTGACAGTGTTAATGTGGGGAATGTTACAGCCACAGAGGACAGATCTGGAGTGCCTGCTGGGTATGCCAGGAGCTGATCTCCTGATTTGTGCCAACACAGAGCACAAGGAAAGGATGACACAACATGTGCCATGCTTCTGTTGATACATCTGTATGAATGTGGAGGTGAGAGACTTTACCTCTTTTAGTGCCAGTGTGATACACAG